ACTCCCATTGGCGTTAGATTAAAGATAGCTACAACCAATGAGTAATGAACATTTATCTTTAAAGTAGCTCTAAGCCAACAGTACCCTTCTCCACGGGAAAATTCGAAAAGTCCAGCAAGAGAAATGCATGCGCTTGCTAATCGTAGACGCGGGTCCTCTCACGACTGCTCTCTTGACGATCATTCCGAATGAAAATGTAGGCTGGCAGAGAGACTTCAGAGCCAAATGCGAAAGATGCTCTTCATGTCTTAGTTACAGGAACAATATCCGGACACTGGAAAAACACCAGAGTCTGAGGCAAAGGAACCTTATTTAGCAAGAACCTGAAATTTTGAGAGAAAATTTTAATAGGGATAACTGTTTGTTTCTGTTGATGGGGAGTTGCGTTATCCAGTGGTTAACTGTCCACGTACCGTAGGGATCAAGGGGAAGTTTTCTTAAAAAAGCTGAACTTCTTCAGTGCTCAAGTGGCTGAAACCGAACTCCGGTTTAACTTTTAACCAAGCAGCTGTTATAATCTTCCAAATGTAACTGGTGGGATTTGCAAAGGGCAGTATAAAAGAGGTATCGTTGTGTTGGGGACCCCATGACCGAATTGTTTAACAAACTAACAAAGGCTGTCGTGCCGGTGTTGACTGACGACGTCGTCACACTTATCACCCTTTTCCGGCATCGGTGTGACATAAGGGAAAACTGAGCATCATAATATACGGCAGAATCTGTCTGTTATGTGATTTCCGAAAAAGACTTCTATTAAAGCGAAGATGCTGGTAAGTTTCTGGCGTGATGACGGGCCAAGGACTACCGTTTAACATGCGCGAAGCTGAATCCCAAACCACAACTTGTCAGACACAAATACGAGCCCTCCATAGTAGGTACGTGATTGAGAATAATAAGCAGCATTAAATTATATTTGCCTTTCATTTGTTTCTCTACTTCGGAGCTAATTACCTCAGTGACTTTAACCGTTTGCTTGGTAACTCTCTCGGAAATTATAGCCACATCCTCAGGTAAAAATTGATTTAATGTTCCTTTTGACGATGTCTCCTTACCACTAACAGAATCGTATACCTGAGCTATCAAACGGTCAAGAAGTTCGCAGTGGACTAAATGGGTTTTTAAGTTCACCTAATCTCGAGAAGGCTGCGAGGTACGTAAAGCTTAACGTGTCTACGGCCATGATTCTAGCGTTCTGGGATTGTGAGGGGGAAGAAGCTGCAAGATTTCGTACTTTAGGAAGTCTATTCTGGGACATTGTAGCGTACTATTCAAAATGTCTCCTACAGAAGTAAAGATGTTGATAATTTACTACAATATGTTTAGCACATTTAACTTACTATGGTAAATATAAAAAAACCGTCCGGCTCGGCTTTTAAGTACGAGTGCGACACAAAATTCAATTTATCTATCAGATTGTCAGTCTAGTCAAAATAAATTATACACAACAGCAAAAAGTCCTTTAAAAAGAGTCAGGCGATAAGATACACTAATTGCTAGGGAATATCGAAGTAAAAAACAAAATCAGGCCCATCTCTGAACATCGAACAGCTATAAGAAATCTTAACCAAACCCTCCTCTAAAGCCTTGGTCTACACCTCTGTTAAGTCAGCTGATCTTAGAGAAAAGTGTGTCTTCGCCGAATGTCACAGTGAAAATTCTGTAAGGTATTATTTTCAGCGTTAAACTGTAGTGCAGCATGATTTACGAGGACTCTTAATGTTTTGCAAAAAAGGCGGAACATACATATAGGCCAAAGCTGCTTGCTATCATCTTACTACCTCCCTTTTATAAGGCAGGCACGCTAGATGTTTTTAACAACGAATTCTAGCACTCTGTTCACATTTGCAGTTTGAAGACAGATGAAAAACAAATTACCGGCCCTGCAAATAACTCCTTAAGAATCAACCCAGGAATGTTATCCAGTTCACGAGACTTGTCCGACTTAATTTGGTTGAGGATTCCTCATGATTCTCTGACGGAACAGATAACGGTTCTAATAACTACTGTACCTTAATACACTTCAAAGTCTGGCCTGCCTTTGGAGTACTCCACCATAAACACCGACTGAAAGGGCAGGAGAAGTAAATGTACTTTTCGCGATCCTTGAGATAACTAGTTCCTGATACAATATTTTAAATCCACAATCTCGTCCCTATGCTTCCTCCTACTAAGGAAAAACACGCAACACTTTTTGGATATGTACTGGCTTCCGATGTCAGTCGTCGTTTAAAAGAAGTTCTAGCAGTCCGCATTGCGTTACCTCTTATATTCGACAATTGATGTGGGATCCTGACGAAACAAGCAATTTCCACGGTCTCCGTCACTTCTTTACGCTTCTTTTCACTACTGCCTTAACGCATTATTGGCTAGAACGCAGTTCTGTTATTTTCATAAGACAATTAAATTCAGCTGAACGCACAGACACCCTGAATACACCGCCAAAATTTTTGGTGTCTTTCGTGTCAATTAACTAAGTTTCCGTTAAAGTACCAAGTTTCAGTGCATCTAAACAGCCTTCCCTGACATTTCTCCGTCTCTGGATATGCAATTATGCAAATAAAAAGACAGAACACATGAAAGTATATGAAATATGGCCATTTTTACTGAGTAAGGGTTGTAATTTTACTTCCTCTTATGACTCATTCCTTTTGACTGAGGACGAAGTCCAAGCAGTTAGACCATTTTCTCCGTCCTGTTCCGAGCTCTATTTGTCGGACGAGGCGTTTATCTAAAAAAATTGCAAACGTTTTTAGTCGAATGAAATTAATGAGCGTTTACTGCTAGAATTGTGCAGGCAAATCTAGGAGCAGTGAACCCATCCTATACTGGTTTAAGTAAACTAAGTAATTCCACGTCGGCGCATTTGTTTGAACTGACAGGCCTACAGAGAGCGGAGAGGTTAGGAGTCGACAGTCGTCTGATATAAATTTTGCATGAAATGACAATATAGTTTTGTAGTATTACATCGGACCTTTCTCGCTAACTGTAGTTAATTTGATTGGGTACATAAGTTCCCATGTCTCCACCCCATGTTGATCACAATCTCCAAGACTCACTTCGCTGATGCATATTTATTCTCTTAGCCAGGTTTCCGTCAATACAGTTGTGTGAGATTTCTGTCCAAAAATATTAGTTTGTGTTCATGCAGCCTATTGAAGAGACCCTGATAGCCGGTGTAGTAGTCGATAGTAGCATGCCAGCATGACTGTCCTCGGGAACAGATTTCCTTCTGACTAGAATAATGTGTCTATCTCTTATTTTGAGGTCTGACTTACCGTCGCTATTTCGATCTCCCATTTCGTCATTAAATTTCTCATTTTAATTTCCTATTTCGATCCGTAATCTGATTAAAGAAACGGCAGCCTCTGTGCTCCGCATAAGCGACTTTATCTGAAATGGGAGCTGCGCCTTCGCTTTGTCTTATAAAGTGATTGCTAGGGCTCATGGTGGGGCTTGCAGACTAGACGCTGGCTGAGCCTTCCATATTGTGCATGCTTTGTGAATTATGAGACACCGAAGGCCCTCAGAAAAGCTTTAACACACTCTTAAGTAGGGCTAGGTCAAGTTTCACTTTATTCTTTCGAATTGTTGGCGTTGACCGTAAAACGCTTTCTATTACTATATTTTGTTTCTGATCAAACAGAACGCCTGCCGCGGTCGCATTACATCTTCCAACTGACCTAACAGTCGTCTCTAGTTTTATCGTTCTACTAAATTCTGATGAACTGTCTATTGGACTCTCAACACTCAAACCGATGAAAGATTTGATCACGTTCATGCTGATAGTGTTTACTTCTAGTCTGCTCTGTTGTTTGCTGCAAAAGCCAGCATCTGCCTCTTTGGAAGTACACCTAGCCGCCGCCCTCCAGTGATTTATACCTATGCAAACATCCTCCGTAAACCCTTGCCTTTGTGGACCGTGCTCAGGTATATGGTATAAGTGCACCACCGTGATTCTGCGTGGATTTTTACCCTAACACTATCGAGTTCGGATTTCGCTCTGTAAATTTTGTTACCTGTCCCCTGAACATTCGCACAATACGGTAACCAATGATGCTTTTACTTTCTTTCGAGTGCGCTTTTTCATTTTTCAAATTATTTCTAGACATGTGGTATAATCGTCTAGGGCTTGAACTTGTGCTTTATAAACGCTGTTATTATCTCTGCTAAACGCTCCAGGTTCCCCTCTAACCTTCTAACTGGCATGGCAAGATCAAAATAACCATCGAATCGGGCATGCAGAGTTCATCGGCCTCTTTCGTGTTCAGTTTTGAAGTAGGTCGGGAAGACCACGTAGGCAAAATAAAGCAGGCTCTGGCAAGACTGATCAGGGCGGTAATGAATAACAGACATTTATTTGTTCGGGAGAAGAAGCTAGCAAAATACATCGCGATAGCTGGACTCTATAGAGCCGAGGATCAGTAAAGCTGAGATGTGCAAGTTCGTGTTCTAAACTAATTAAATTTTCAGAGCGGAATTAAAGACCGATGAACCGAAATCAAGTCGCTGTAGCCATCGTGCAATTTATCTAAAGAAATCACGTATAGAAAACTTCACATGCCTGTTTTATTGCCAATGTTATGCAGGCCGACTGACCTACTCCCCACATGACCTGACATATTTCACAATTAAGTGTCCGCAGGATAGTTCGCACTTAGTCATTAAAGGCTGGCAAATCAAAAGTTGGTCAAGGGAACCTTCAGGAAGAGGATGCGTGTGCATGAGTGTCTCGGAGTCTTTGTCGACCATAGTTACCATAAGTGACGACATTGCCCACGCAAAGTTCAAGACGTGAAAGTTGGTGCGCTCGCGTATTCTGTTGTTTATCAGATATTTGGGCGCTTGTTCATAGCTTTTCTTTTCGAAGAAAGCCGACAATTGGCAAACTCCTTATAAACGTGTTTTGAACTTCAAATCATCGAGGTCGTGTCGACAAAAATTGTTTGAATTATTAGATTTTAAAGCGCTCATTCAGGTGGTCGAGCATTTGTGTCGACGCCATGTCCTACTCTGATTTAGGGCATAAGTTGGAACAGGATTTCAAGTATAATAACAATGTCGAGCAGGCAGATGTATATATACGCATGGGTGGGTATCCGCAATACCGTTTAACCTGTCTAGGTTTCCTTCGCAAACTGTACTCGATCTTGGCTGTGCAGCTTCTTGTCACAGTTACTACGGGGGCGATCATGTTTCCCTTTAGGAGCGAGATAGCTGCCTTCCTTTTGCAAAAGTAACAAACTCCACTTATTCGTTCACCTGTAGTTCTTTTGCACCAATATGCCTTGTATTGGCCTCCTTCGCATTACTAATCGCGATGTATGCAAAACGTTACGAAAGCCCAGCCAATCTTATTTTATTATTTAGCTTCGTAAGTCTTCTGGTTCTTATAATAATTCCTGCATTTCAGACAATCGTAGAGGCTTTGATTGTGGGTATGGTAGGTAAGTATTATTGATTTCTGTCATTTCAGTTCTACCGTACCAAAATTGACACTCCCCTTCCAGCTTGGGTGCCGTGGAAGAACCCTCTCATTTCCTGTGTTCCTATTTGTGACAGCTATATGTACTTGGTTTCCGTCATACATGAGAGAATGAGCGCTTAGGTAATGCGGCTAATCAGACATACTTACGTTATGTATGGGCAGGGTTAAATCCATCTTTAGTAGACGTGGATATGCGGCAGGTGACGTTCTTTTAAAATGATTTAATGCGCTGTAGCGTGTAAGTAGATCCAAACTAAGTCTGAACCTCCGCGTGTATTCTATTCACGCTGTCACCGTTGAGCCGCAGTCCATTCCGGCCATGCTCGTTAATGAGCAGCAATCATTCCTCCCCCTTACCTCAATCTTTAACCACAAAAGCCCTAACATCTTCTGCATGACCTTTTAAACTTGTTTATTTATTATTTCGGTTAAGTCGTTCACTTCGACTCGTCAGTCATTCTCCAAGCTCTTGTGATCACGTCGGCCGTTGTTTGCAGTTTAACGGCCTATACAATGCAGTCAAAAAGGGATTTCTCGTCATGGGGCGGTTTACTGGGCTCCTTGCTGCTGGCCTTAGTCGTTGGCGGTCTGACTAATGTAAGTTTGCATTTTTTGTTGTCCTCTTTATCGTGACAAAAGACCGCTCGGGCGGAAATCTTTTTCTATTTCGACTGTACAATTATTTTCGGTGTCTTTTCTGACAAGGGGATGTAGTATCGATAGTTATGCTTGTCAGGTCTGTGCTCCGGCCATTGTGAAGTGTGCATTTTGAACCTTTTTGCCTGTTACAACCCACTAACACGTAAGGGATGCTAAAAGCGTTTAATTCCGTATCTCGCAATCGATCTTGATTGAACAAACTCGTTCCCTACGCTGCCGAAGTAGGCTACTGCCCACAGGCCTTATGCATTGTCCGATGTGGCATTTATTGGTAGTTGCCAATATACTCACAAAAGTTCTAAACATGAATGCACGGACACAATGAGTTTCGGTATTTTTGACACCGAATGCGCCCATTTAGTATGCAAGATTTTGTTTCGTTGTGGGCAAAATAGGAAGTACATAAGTGTAAAAATGTGCCTGGCATTCAATGGGAGTAATTTTGCAACGAGTTTGTGCGTTGTACCTGTTTGCCAGGCAATTACACTTCCGACTAACATAATGTGTCTTTGATTCACAACCCTAACTTCACCTTGGTAACTTGCCAGCGTCGTGACTCGCAATGATAGCAACTTGTTCCACGCGTCCAGACTGACCACCAAATAAATAATTCCAATATTCCTGGCCTCAGGAATGTGTTTTCTTGAGGCTATGGCACTTGCGTTCACAAAACTCGCCGCTCGTTTTGGACCGATTGACTAAGTACACATCTACTAAATTACAGCTTTGTCACGTACTTTCTGATCGGTTTCTTTCTGTTTTTAAAATAAGCGGGAGAGTTTGCACTGTAGTGCTTTCTTCGCACTTTGACCGTCCTTCTGCTTGTTTTCCATTTAAATCAGTGCCTTTCTCTTCTCAACTGAAGTTCGAGCATGCCTTTGGGCACAGGACTGATTTTAACTTCTTGACCCACGCAGCGGACACCGTAACGGCATTTTAATTTTTATTGTGTCGGTTGCGATTGGTGATTATTTAGTCGGTTTTGGAACCGGGAATATTCAGGAGGACATGGTACGCGTAAGCTCCCCAGTGTTGCCAGATCCAAAGCTAGTAATCTAATGCGTAAAGTGATGGTAGCGCGTGAAGTATTATCAATTTTCATAACGCAGCTTTGGCTTGCGAGCTTTTTACAGGTCACCAATTCACCAGATCAGTTATCTGTCATCCCTTACGATATTGCCTCTTCGTGGTCTACGACTGCTTATTCATTCTACTAAGGAACCCATCTGTTTCCCTTCAAGTCTGTTGAAAATCGTTCCACTCTGTCATCCACATACTCATTGGGCTGTTTGCATTCAGGCTGACAGTGTTTCCTGATTTTCCTAGTAGATTTCGCTCCAGCTCATAACCGACTCTACTGACTGCCGGAATGTGCGGCGACTAGCTTGCCAGCTTATTAGCATCTTTTGTTCAGAAGTGGTTCCTCGAAATTGCTGGTTTTTCTGATGTCATTGGCTCAAAGAGTGGTGTTCATGACGCAGATACAATAACTGATTTTAAATAGCTGTTTCGTCCTCTGTCAGGTATTGCACTAGCATAAACCGTAGTCAATTTCCTAATCCGTGCCTCCGCCACATCAGACTTCGAGAAAAAAGACGAAATGTAGAGAATTCATTTCTTTCGGGGCTAAGTTATTAACAATCGCTTTTGAATTGTAGGCAATAGTGATAATAGTGAATGCGTGCATCCATGAACACCACAATTCCAACATTTGGCCGCCTATCTCTATCTAATTGCCGGTTCGGTGAGGATTGCGCCACAATTTGTGATTGTAATAGTTGGTATTGCCGTTATCGTTTGTGTGCCCAGCGTTTGGTTAACCGCCTATTACAGACTACCGACAAGAGTGGCTTTCGAAAAGCACAGAGAAACTTGGGTGGTTGTAGTATTCGAAGATGTATATTATACCGTTTTTGCCCTGATAAGGGTTTAGGACGTGACCGGGGGTCTATTTAGGCAATGGTATTCGAAGAATTGAAGTCCATAAAGCTTTGTATTTTCGGGGATTTTTTGCCTGCGATTTTACAGGAGGCTGACTTCGGTCAGCTCGTGCGTATAACTCGGGGATTCAGTCCACATTTACGATTCGCAGCCGTTTGTGGCGGTCAAGGATGTGAGATCAACTTAAACCACGCACAATAAGTTCGTTTCGTCTAATGACAGAAGTCAGGGAGCTGGGAGGACTAGTTTATTCTGTACACAGGGCAGGTTGCCGTAAGTTGGCTGTTTGCTTGCAACAGATAAAAACGTCCGTTCACGGAGAGCGTCAGTCGCGGTGTGTCGTTTACGCGGGAGTGAAAGTCTGTGTCAGTAGGTGGGGGTGACGGGTTGGATGCTGGTCATGAGATTGGACGGATTAGGGGAGGATTAGGGGGAAGCATAATTACAGGGGCTTACGGGTATCAAGCCAGGTCGTCCGACGCGCATGAGGTGATAATTGTTTGTGGGGGAAGCCGGGGGTCACTGCAGCTGGACAGGAGGGGGGGCCCAGTTATAATCGGCGGGGGTGGTTGTGTGTCAGCGGCCTGGCAACGATTGTCGCGGCCATCGACCGACAAAACGGAGCCGAAGAAAAGGAGAACTGGAGCGGCTGCTACAACTCCCCCCCAGACACCAAACGGAGTGAAGGCGTCGACATGCTAGCCAGCAACAAACCTGTCGGGCCAGTGGACGTGACGACCAGATCGTGTGCGGCGAACCGCAGGGGGGCTGTCGCCAGTAGGTGGAGGCAGCACTGTTTGCGGCGGGGTACAGTGTTGGGGTGAGGAATAGTCACTGTCGTCGATGAACGCCGGCTTGACGCGATCAATGCTGACTGTGTCGGTCTTGCCGTTGCGGTCGATGACAACATCTTTGTCAGATCGACGAATGACTTTATACGGCCCGTCATAGGGTGGTTGGAGTGGTCGTCGGACAGCGTCATGCCGAACCAAGACGAAATTGCACTTATCTAGGTCGGGAGGGATGAAGGTATTGGCCGGTGACGCCCGAGGGGGCGTTGCGCGGAGATTTCGCATGACATTACGCAGCTGCTCCACATAACTGCAAGGTTCGAAAAACGTTAGCATGTTTGAGGGAGACACTAACTCACCGGGCAGTCGTAGGGAGGTTCCGTAGACAAGATCAGCCGCAGTGCAACCAATGTCGGCCTTGAGAGTGGAACGGAGGGACAACAGCACCAGGGGAAGGTGATCAGACCATCGGGAAGGATTGGGCTGGGCCATAAGGGAAGTCTTGAGCTGTCGATGGAAGCGTTCGACGAGTCCATTTGCTTGAGGGTGGTACGCTGTTGTTCGGATTCGGTTGGTACCGAGAAGGCATGTGAGTTCGCGAAACAGCGTGGACTCGAATTGGGATCCGCGGTCAGTGGTGACAGTCGCAGGAACTCCAAAATTGGACACCCAATGAGTCAAGAAAGCTCTTGCTACGGTTTCGGCACTGATGTCCGGAATGGGCGCGGCAACCGGCCACCGAGTAAAGCGATCAGTACATGTCAGCATATAGGTAGAACCGTTAGATGGTGGCAGCGGACCTACCAGGTCAATATGCACATGACTGAAGCGTGCATCAGGAGTGGCGAAAGTTCCTGGCGGATTAATAGTATGCCGATGCGTTTTGGCTCGTTGACATGGTAGACAGGATCGGGTCCAACGCCGTACATCCCGGTTAATGTTGGGCCAGACGAATCGGTCAGTGACGATTTTCACTGTCGCCCGAACTCCAGGGTGGGATAGATTGTGAAGAGCGTTGAACACTTGTCGTCGTAAAATAGCAGGGACAAAAGGACGTTCGTGTCCGGTAGAAAGGTCACACGTGATGGTGCCTGTGCCAGTGGGAAAGGGGACATCTTGAAGGCGTAAAGAAGAGTTCTCGTGGCGGTATTGGGGAAGTTCGCCATCCGATCGTTGAGCCTCAGCCATGAGCGTGAAGTCTATGGCGTCTGTTGTGATGGAAGCCATCTCTATTCTTGAAAGAGCATCAGCAACCACATTTTCCTTACCGTGGACATGTTGGATGTCGCAGGAAAACTGTGAGATGAAGTCTAGATGGCGAATTTCACGGGGCGAGTAGCGATCGGGAGAGGCCCTCAGTGCGAAAACGAGTGGCTTGTGATCTGTGAGAACAACAAATTCACGACCCTCGAGAAAATGGCGGAAGTGCCGGATGGATAGATAAACGGCAAGGAGTTCTCGGCCGAAGACACTGTAGCGGGTCTCTGCTGGGCTGAGCTTCTTCGAGAAGAAAGCCAAAGGCTGTAGAACACCACTAACAGTTTGCTGCAATGATGCACCAACTGCAATGCTGGAAGCATCTGTCATGAGAGTTAGCTGGGCATCTGAGCGGGGGTGAGCAAGCAGTGTTGCGCTCGCAAGTGCGGCCTTGACGTCATTGAAGGACCTGACAGCCTCCTCAGTCATCACTAGTGTCTTCTTGGATTGGGTCAACAGGCTGTTGAGAGGCTGCAGTATGGTGGCACCATGGGGAAGAAAACGATGATAGTAGTCCACCATCCCCAAGAATCGGCGTAGTTGGCTGATGGTTGTCGGGACGGGGAACGTTGATATGGCCGAAACCTTTTCTGGGACGGGCTTTATCCCATCTGAGTTCACTTCGTGACCAAGGAAGATAAGACTGGGGACTCCAAACTCACATTTGGCGGCATTGATGATAACGCCGTAGGAGTCGAGCCGTTCGAAAAGCTGTCGAAGATGAATCTCGTGTTCTGCAGCGTCAGAACTAGCCACCAGCAAATCATCAATGTAGGCGTAGACGAAGTCGAGACCTCGCAGAACCTGATCAATGAATCGCTGAAAGGTTTGGGTGGCATTCCTCAGACCAAAGGGCATACGGGTGAATTCGAATAACCCAAAGGGAGTGGTCACTGCGGTTTTCGGCACATCACTGGCTTCGATTGGGATTTGGTGGTAGGCACGCACAAGGTCAATCTTAGAGAATATTCGCTTACCATGTAGCGAAAGAGTGAAGTCTTGGATGTGCGGGACGGGATACTGGTCGGGGACAGTCGCTGAGTTCAACGCCCGATAGTCACCACACGGTCGCCAGTCGCCGCTCTTCTTGGGGACAAGATGGAGGGGTGATGCCAAGCAGCTGTCGGACTGTCGGATGATGCCGAGCTCAAGCATGTGATCGAACTCTGCCTTGGCGATCTTCAAACGGTCCGGAGCAAGACGACGTGGTCGGCAAGATTTGGGAGGTCCATTGGTGGAAATGTGGTGAGTGACTGTGTGTTTGATGTCCACTTCACGAAATGAGGGGTTGGTCAGGCGGGGAAACTGCCTGAGGAGTGAGTTGAAAGGACAGTCAGAGATGGGCATAACAGTGAGAGGGCTGACGCAGGGGTTCACATCGGATTGACAACGGGCATGAAGGTCGGTAATGCAGTCGACGAGTCGGCGATTCTTCAAATCAACTAGTAGATTGAAGTGAGCTAGGAAATCGGCGCCTATGAGGGCGACGGAGACGTCGGCAATAATAAAAACCCATCGGAAAATTCGACGAAGGCCCAAATCAAGTGTGATGGAGCGCTGTCCAAATGTGGGGATGCTGGAGTTGTTGGCAGCTGTTAGACAAAAAGAGCTGCGGTGTTTTCGTTCGGCCGGAGTTGGTGGAACTACGCTAACCTCGGCACCAGAGTCGACAAGGAATTTGGCACAAGCGATACGGTCCCAGAGGAACAGACGGCGAGTGTGGAGATTGGCAACGCTTCCAGCAGCAGTGGACTCTACTGTCGGGTGGGATCGTCTCCCTGAGGCCGTTAGAGATGCTTTGAAAGAGCATGGCTGAAGACATCGTCGAGCTGCTCCTCCAAATTGTTGGTGATACCAGCAGACGCTACTTGGAGATTGTGAAAGGCGGGTGTGGGAAACGGAGGAAGTAGGGCGACGGTTTGGTGTTCGCCGCGGGCCGTTAGTGGTAGCTGCAGTAAGCTGGGCTTTCAGGCGCATTAATACTTCCTCGAGCCGATCCAAGCGTACGCCAGCTCCTTGAGAATTGGACTTGATGAGTGACTTCTGGTCTTGGGACATCGCGCTGTAGGTTGCCGGAAGATTGTTGTTGTGGACGAAGAGTTTGCGGAATTCCGGTGTTCGGAAATTCGGGGTCACCAATTTGTGGCGGTCAAGGATGTGAGATCAACTTAAACCACGCACAATAAGTTCGTTTCGTCTAATGACAGAAGTCAGGGAGCTGGGAGGAC